TCTTCCTAGTATCTTTTAAATTATATATATTATATTAGTATCTCTAACATTTTAGGTGTCGTCTAGGCATCCCCAAAGTTTAATATCTGAATTCCAAATTAATATTCAGAATTTTTCCTTGGGAGATGTAAAAAAAAATGGTAAAATATCGGACGCTTCCAAGAAACATAATATACATTTTTTAAGTCATGACTATTAAAAGAAATCCCCCAAAATTCTTACGCAGAAATCTTTAATCGAGAAATCTTAGAAAATATATATTTTTTTCACAGCTGCGAAAGTCTTAGGGTAAAACAGAATTTACAGTATTAAAAGTCTTATTGAAAAGAGCTTTTACTGATACGTATGTTTTGTAGCCATAAAAGTCTTACAGATAAAGCCTTTTTTAACAGCTACAAATACCATACAGCACAAGCTTTTATCCAGCCACATAAGTCGTGTACCTAAAGCTTTTGTTTTTAGTCACTGAAGTCTTTTGGGTAACGCTTTTATTCCAGTCACTTCAGCTTTCTGGAAACAGCTTGAATTTCACCACTACACTCGAGTTCCAAACAGTGGGTGAGAGATTTTTTTGGAAAAAAGTATGAGAAGAAAATTGAATGTGAACGAAACTCAAACTCAATTGCGTAGGAACACGAAGAATTGTAATTTTGTTAGGCCTGAGAAAATGGAGAATAGAAAAGGATTTAAACGATTCAGTCTCCACTAACATACATCAGAATAATAATAATAATAATAGTAATAATAATAATAATAATAATAATAATAATAATAATAATAATAATAATAATAATAATAATAATAATAATAATAATAATTATGATAATAATAATAATAATAATAATATAATATTATTATTATTATTATTATTATTATAAATAATAATAAATAATATAATTATATAATAATAATAATAATAATAATAATAATAATAACAATAATAACCTTCTGCAATTACTTGTACAAGGTATACAGACCATAGCTGACATCAATGACATACTACTATATAGAAAGTCCCTTGTTATGAGAAACATTTCGGGCAAATTACGTCAATTTTGTCCCCAGGATGCGACCCCACAGTTGTCGGCTAACACCCAGGTACCTATTTTACTGCTAGTTAGAGACAGCAGGTGTCTTAAGGAAGTATATCCTAATATTTCCGTCAGTACTGAGATGGTGCTAAGTACGCTGCCAATCGAGCCACAGAACACCGCATTAATAGCTGCAAAATAATTCGTTGGATGTCAGCTTGGTTACTGGTAGTCAGGTAGTTTAGTGGGCGTCGACAAGTAATATGTAACGAAGACATTGTCGTCTGGGACTTTCTGGTAGAAGTGTCTTACCAAACAAAAAAACGAAAATAGTATAAGAAAATAGTTCAGTAAAGATTATCGTCTAAGAAAACTTCCTAGCAAAAATAGCAAGTAGCAAAAACAGTTCTCAATACGACCAACATTTGCTAGTTCGACATTACGTCGAGTGTCAGTGAACACTGAGGCAAATATTACATTTTCGTTGCTTTTACATGTCCAGAAAAAATTAAAATATATAATCGCTTATTGGTGGATCTTGGATCAATGAGGCATAATTATGTTCACCTTCATGGATAAATACGTCTTCAAAAATATCGATATCTGCAGCGAATTTATAGGAAAAGATGTGTTTCCCACTAAAGCAGGATGACTTAAGGGTTGATTCGTCATCACTTGCTTCTGGTTAACTATCACATCCTTCTGTATCACTATCACATCCTTCTGATTCACCATCACATCCTTCTGATTCACCATCACATCCTTCTGATTCACCATCACATCCTTCTGACTCACCATCACATCCTTTTGATTCACCATCACATCCTTCTCTTTCACCATCACATCCTTCTGATTCACCATCACATCCTTCTGATTCACCATCACATCCTTCTGATTCACCATCACATCCTTCTGATTCACCATCACAGCCTTCTGATTCACCATTACATCCTTCTGACTCACCATCACATTCTTCTGATTCACCATCACATTCTTCTGATTCACCATCACATTCTTCTGATTCACCATAACATCTTTCTGATTCACCATCACATCCTTCTGACTCACCATCACATCCTTCCGACTCACCATCACATCCTTCCGACTCACCATCACATCCTTCTGACTCACCATCACATCCTTCCGACTCACCATCACATCCTTCTGACTCACCATCACATCCTTCCGACTCACCATCACATCCTTCTGACTCACCATCACATCCTTCCGACTCACCATCACATCCTTCTGACTCACCATCACATCCTTCCGACTCACATCACATCCTTCCGACTCACCATCACATCCTTCCGACTCACCATCACATCCTTCCGACTCACCATCACATCCTTCCGACTCACCATCACATCCTTCTGATTCACCATCACATGCTTCCTCTCTGCTGTTCGAGCACCATAGCCACCTGTCTTTCAAGACTCTACTCAAGGTTGTCGTGTCTCCTGAATGCTGTAAAAGGTTACCTTCTACACAAACCAACAGTAAATCGGATCACGTAAATCTCCTGCCTTCTCTCACTTGAATACGACTGACACACACATATATACACGCCGGGTATATTCTTGTAAAAAATTCTGAAAGTTGAATGTGAGATTTAAATGAGAGAATTAGTTTTATGCTAATGGGAATTTTAATTGCAATGAGAATTTTGAGGAAAATCTTTTGAGAATTATTGTATACTTTTTACAAGGTGCTAAATTCTTGTGAGTTGTTCAGGAGTGCTGGAAGCTCGATCCTCCGTTTGCAAAGATGAAATAAGCAAAAAAAAAATCAGAAGACATTATAGGTAATGAATAAAAATTAACATTATTTTATTTAAAGTTCATCTCAAAAAACATGAACTACAATAATAAAAAAAATGCATTTTTTTTCACAATAATATTTCATTGCAAATATGTATGCTAATATTATTCTGTTTAGAGTTCATTGATTCGTAAATTACAACAGTAACTGTAGCATCTGCTATTAATGTTTCCATAAATCAGGACACTGAATAGACTTCCATGAACAATTGACGTAAACCTTTGTTCAGTAATATTAGAGTCATGCTCTATGGTACTAAAATATTAATGAAAATAGTTTTGTAGTCGACGTCATGAATTACATCACTTATATTGAAAATGGTGTAAAATAAGAAGATGGAAATTAAGATATTTGTGTGATTGGGTGACTTCATTATAGGAACGTTTCGCTTATATGGTAGTCGTCTTCTGTTAAATAGAGAAGCAGCACAAATGTCAATTACATCACTGTCACTTCCTGTCGACTTATAATGTTTCAATAAACACATAAAAAACACATATGGAACACCTAAATATATTGATTACTTTAAAAAAATGAGTGACAGGAAAAATACAGAGTAAATTGAAGAAAATTTAGGCGATTGGTACTAAACTACAGGAAAATTTTAATTTGGTAATGACTCAAGTTGTGACTTGATAATGGTCGACGACCAGACCGAAACACCGTCTGAAGTTTCCTTTCCAGAGTTTTATTTCTTAGAACAACATCAAGGAATCAATATTGACGAGAAACAGCTTGATAAAATCCCAATTTATTCATATCAACAGTTAAAAAATATATGAAATCAATGTATATATATATATATATATATATATATATATATATATATATATATATATATATATTATATAATATATGTATATATATATATATATATATATATATATATATATAATATATATATATATATATATATATATATATATATATTATAAATATTTATATATATATATATATATATATATATATATATATATATATATATAATATATATATATATATATATATATATATATATATATAAGATCACCTGCTATTATCCCCCTTTCAGAATAATCTTTGAACTCTCGGAGTCTTCAAAAATCGTTGTATCGGCTCTGGTACATTGCATTTCTAAAGTGACTCTTATCCTCGGCTCTGTCAGTTGAAGGTTACGAGACTCGCCTTCATGGGAGACGTTTTCTTGCTTCTACTACCCTCCCCATTTTTTGGATCAACGCTGATTACCTTCCATTCTTCAATAGCTATAAGACCTCTACGGGCTTAGCGATTTCCCATGACAGTAGTAATAATAACAAAAGCATTAACGAGAGCAACAATGATGATAAAATATTAACGATAATGAACATAATAATAATAATAATAATAATAATAATAATAATAATAATAATAATAATAATAATAATAATAATAATAATAAAATATTATTATTTTAATAATGATATACAGACTAATAACAAAAAGAATAACAGCATAAACGTATTACTAATACTAATAATAATATTAATAATAATAATAATTATAATGATAGATATTAAATTAGATGCCAAGCAAAATTTACTGTTTTGAAAGATGACTGTAACGAAGAAGCATTTTAGTTGTGGTTATTACGTGAATTAATCACGTTAATGCTCACTGATGACACAAACTGAGAACCACAGCTACCGCTAAGAACCTGAACTTTCTAAGCTGGGGGGACAGAGCACCTCAAAAATCTACGCTTTTTTCCATCTATTTTCAGTATATCAGTCACTTCTGTATTCGACTGAAGAAACCTGCTATCCAAGCGAAATGTATCGGTCATAAACATACCCAAGAGGTACACACATGTATCTGATTCATTTATATTCCATTAACATAATAATTGTGAGTGTTATACCTGTTTCTGAGATATATATAGGCTCTTGAGTTCTACAATTGCTCTTCTGATTGGTCTTCTCAATAATAAACGCCGATCAGGTAACGAAGTACACAAGTGCAACGCTAGTTCATATTGCAACGACGTTGCATTGATGATTCATTGACTCGATGAAGCTCTGCACAGAACGCAACTTTATCATAATTAAATCTTGCCCTGCACCTGTGTCGTCTTAAATAATCCCCGATCAGGTTATCACTGGCTGGCTGGACTCCGACACGACAACTTACCAATAGCGCTCCACGTCGTTTCCCAGGTTAAAGTCGCCTCCCGGAGACCGTACTCTTGATGTTGCGACTCTAGAGATTTTGAAACCAGTTTTGCTGTAGTTGAAACCTTGCTAGTTGCTTTTCTACGTTGCCGATAATAATTAGTGATGAATTATTTAGAGTTCTCGAGTTGGCACTCTACAGCCATTCATGGTTAAGGAGTTATCAAAGTGTTTAAGGCAAACTTTTTGAGAGAGACGCATGGGGAATATTTTTGGGGGGGAGGTTAATGGCAATATATATAAGGGGGGTATACGAGATAAGTATGAATTACACAGTTAGCAACGATGCAGACACACACACAGATTAATGGGACTGAGAGGCTGGTGGGGATGCTGGTTGGTGAGTGGGATGAGAGTGGCACACCACACCACACTACCGTTCACCACCACAGCCACACGCATACTGCCTTCCAGCGAACACCACCACCACCACCACCACCACCACCACACCACCACCACCACCACCACCACCACCACCACCACCACCACCACCACCACCACCACCACCACCACCACAACCACTACTACCACCACCACCACTACTACTACCACGACCACCACTATTACCACCACTACCACCACCAATACTACCACCACACCATTATTACCACCACTACCACTACCACCACCACCTCCACCACTACTACCACCACCACTATTACCACCACTACCACCACCACCACATCACCACTACTACCACCACCACCACCACCACCACCACACACCACCACCACCACCCCCACCACCACCACCACCACCCCACCACCACACCCCCACCACCACTACTACCACCACCACCACCACCACCACCATTACCACCACCACTACCACCACCACTACTACCACCACCACCATTATACCACCACTACCACCCATTACCACCATCACCATCACCACCACCACCACCGCCCCCTACCACCACCAGCAGCACCACCACCACACCACTATCACCACCACTACTACTACCACAACCACCACCACTACCACCATCACCACCACCACCAGTGCCACCATCACCATCACTACCACCACAACTACCACCACCACAACCCCCAAACCACAACCCACCACCACTACCACCACCACCACCACCATCAACCAAACTCTCCACCCTCCTCCTCAACCCACTTCTTACTCTTTCTACTCCTATCTACTCATTTCCTCCCTTCTACCCCCGACTCTTCCTCAGTCATTTCACTCTATTCCCTTCTATCCATTCCAACTCTCTCCTATTCCCTCCTCATCATTCCTACACATCAATCCTTCTACTTCCCTCTTTTTTTCCTCTCCATCCTTTTTCTTAAGTCTTACTCCTCTCTCTCCATCACTCCCACCATCCTTCTCCATTTCTCCGTCACCTGACTGTCTTAGTGTCTTAAGTCTTGATTTTTTTTAGGAAAGAGAAGGAAGGCAAATAAGGAAATAAATTGATTATTCTTCATCAGCTCCTCCACCTCTTCCTCCTTCATATATTTATTTGCAGGTACAAACCAATAGGAGTCACACAGTGCCGGAGGAAAATGGGAAAAACAGTTTTGATCTGAGGAAGAAGAGAGGTAGCTCCATTTCCTTGTATCAAGAGCCCTTCGACTGCCTCAGAGCACTCCAAGAGAGAGTAATGAATTGCTTATTAAAACGCCTTAGGAATCAAGGTCTCAGTTTCAAAATAGAAGCCTTCACTTCCTCGGATCAAACCTGACTTTCCCCCCTTCCCCAGATGCTGTATGACCTTTAAGCTTCCCCATGAGTATAACAATATCGTTAACAACAACAACAATAATAATAATAATAATAATAATAATAATAATAATAATAATAATAATAATAATAATAATAATAATAATAGTAATAATAATAATATAATAATAATAATAATAATAATAATAATATGATAATAATAATGTTAAAAATATTAAAAATAGTAATAGTAATAATAATAATAATAATAATAATAATAATAATAATAATAATAATAATAATAATAATAAAAATATTAAAAATAGTAATAATAATAATAATAATAATATAATAAATAATAATAATAATAATAATAATAATAATAATAATAATAATAATAATAATAATAATAATAATAATAATAATCATAATAATAATAATAATAATCAAGAAACTGTTCGCTTGATCCAAAATCTTTCCTCCAGTCTAGAAATTTGCGATTTTTTCTCAAGCGGATTAAACCCAAATACTGCATTAATTTTCTAACCTCTGTATATATATATTTAAAACTGCATTAATTCTGATTAGTTATATTAAAAAAATATATGAACGTGTTCACTCTCATTGTTTTAAACATTTTCTTTCGAATACACGTTGTTATAATTAGAAATGCATATGGTTTTTTGGCGCAGGCACCAAAATTTTGGCGCGGGCACCAAAATTTTCACTTATCTGAAAGCTTTAGGCCAAATGGATTTAAAAAATCCTTCATGATACAGTAATTACTTCCATCATGTTAAAAATTTTTTACTTTCTAATTCATTATTTTTTATGTAGAGGTGAAAAAAATATTTATTATTATTAAATATGTAAATATGTGTTCAGAATTCATTATAAAGTCGAGTAAATTTTTTGCTAATAATTTCACAGATTATTTTACTGGCAGGTATTTTACCTCTGTTAATTTTGAAGTTCAGTGGTATTATTAATAATCAGGTACCTTTATTACAACTACGTTAACAGGGGTAACTAGTGTAAGGAGACTGGTACACTGTTCCTATTTACTAATATGTAAACAGGGGCAGCTGGGGTAAAGAAATTTCCACATACATCTTACTAGAATAGGAAATCTAACCCGGGAGCCTTCCGTTGTAAGTCGAATACTTTGACACTTTGGATTCAGGTTACTTGTTTATGGAAGGCTCGTAATGTTTCGTATGATAAATACGCGATTCGTCATGTGTGAATGAAAGTGTTCGGAGGTCGTATCACTGGTGTTGTCAGCGTTATGTGAAACGGGCTTACGAAATAGAAAATATATAATTCGATCCCCAAACATGTGAAGCTGAAGAACAGCTGTAGACAACTGAAGCACAACTGAAGCACAGCTAAAGAAGAGTTGAAGCAGAGCTTAAGCATAGTTGAAGGATCACAAGCTCTAGAAAAAGACTTAAGAGTTCTCAGTGTGAAAAAGTATCGGTGGGAATTTGCTACCCACAGGACTTGTGTGGTGTGAGCCTCAGAAGATGAGTTTATTCTTCAGACTGTAGACGTCGTGAGCACAAGACAGTGAGGAGCGCCATTAGGAGCTCAAAACTCGCGCGACGAATTTTTTACCTCTTATTACTTCTTGTGATCAACGCTGCTGCTGCCTGATCTCGAACCAGAGAGCCTCAAAAAAAAAATTACAGGGAAACAAAGACAAGACACACACACACACACACACATAGAAAAGTGACCACACTTGCATTGTGATTTTATGAAGACAGATGTAAAATTCAACTGATATTTAACAAGTTCAGCAAACTTGCCAGTTTGCAAACCTTTTAACAGGATTCAGTTTCACACACTCACTGGAGAACGCAAGTCGCAAACTGCAAAGCAAAGCTATTGACTTCGTGTTTTGACCATGGTAAGAGGGGGGTCAGTCGTGGATCGAGAGCCTGTCACCTGCAAAATTACAACCTCTAATGAGGGTTGCTGAGTCTAAAGTCATGTAAGGTTTATGCTACATTAGTTAAGCCAGTACCCACACGCTCAGGTCCTGGTCCTTGGATTACATTGACTAGGCTGTGGTGTTTCTTACACCTGAGGTCAGAAGGATACAAGCTATTGGATGGTCTTAGAGAAGGTTCGAGGGTAAAGCAAGATGTTCTGTGAGAGTTACATCAGTTAGGTTATATAACAGTAATAATAATTAATAATAATACCGTGATACCTCACAGAAAAATAAAACAACGGTTATGTGTGAACACTTATATTTATTTACACAGAAACAAAGACACCCACACACACACACACACACACACACGAGTGAATAAACAAAAGTGCTTGTATGCATATATACATATATATATTAGTAATATATATATATAATATATATATATAATATATATATATATATATATAATATATATATATATATATATATATATATATATATATATATACTATATATATATATATATAATATATATATATATATATATATGATAATAATATATATATATATAATATATATATATATATATATATATATATTATTCTGTTTTAAAGTCGAGTAATAATTTTTAAAAGAAGAATATTTTCTTAAAGGTGAAAAGCTAGTTTTACATGTAAGAAAATATAACTTTGCTCAAGTTCCAGCGTTACCTAATATCGTCAGGCTTTTATCAATTTAAAGTTTAATATTTTGGCTTTCCTTTTAAGCATGTTGCTCTTGTCGTTTTCCGTATGTTGTTGTCGTCTTCAGCATGTTGGTGTCGTCTTCAGCATGTTGTTGTCGTCTTAAGCATGTTGGTGTCGTCTTCAGCATGTTGTTGTCGTCTTCAGCATGTTTGTGTCGTCTTCAGCATGTTTGTGTCGTCTCCAGTATGTTGTTGTCGTCTTCAGTATGTTGTTGTCGTCTTCAACATGTTGTTGTCGTCTTCAGTATGTTATTGTCGTCTTCAGCATGTTGTTGTCGTCTTCAGCATGTTGTCGTCTTCAGCATTTTGTTGTCGTCTTCAGCATGTTGTTGTCGTCTTCAGCATGTTGTTGTCGTCTTCAGCATGTTGTTGTCGTCTTCAGCATGTTGTTGTCGTCTTCAGCATGTTGTTGTCGTCTTCAGTATGTTGTTGTCGTCTTCAGCATGTTGTTGTCGTCTTCAGCATGTTGTTGTCGTCTTCAGCATGTTGTTGTCGTCTTCAGCATGTTGTGTTGTCGTCTTCAGCATGTTGTTGTCGTCTTCAGCATGTTGTTGCCGTCTTCAGTATGTTATTGTCGTCTTCAGCATGTTGTTGTCGCCTTCAGCATGTTGTTGTCGCCTTCAGCATGTTGTTGTCGTCTTCAGCATGTTGTTGTCGTCTTCAGTATGTTGTTGTCGCCTTCAGCATGTTGTTGTCGCCTTCAGCATGTTGTTGTCGTCTTCAGCATGTTGTTGTCGTCTTCAGCATGTTGTCGTCTTCAGCATGTTGTTGTCGTCTTCAGCATGTTGTTGTCGTCTTCAGCATGCTGTTGTCGTCTTCAGCATGTTGTTGTCGTCTTCAGCATGTTGTTGTCGTCTTCAGTATGTTGTTGTCGCCTTCAGCATGTTGTTGTCGCCTTCAGCATGTTGTTGTCGTCTTCAGCATGTTGTTGTCGTCTTCAGCATGTTGTCGTCTTCAGCATGTTGTTGTCGTCTTCAGCATGTTGTTGTCGTCTTCAGCATGTTGTTGTCGCCTTCAGCATG